CTGCGCGGAGAAACGAGTTGAGCGCGGTACTACCAGGGACGTGGTGGGAATCGAACTCGGAACCACTCGTTTATGGAGCGAGCGCTCTACCACTACACCACTACCGCATTAAAGCACATAAAAGTGATAAAGGTTAGTTATGCGAACTATAGTTTTAACTATTGGTAAACCAGCACATAAACTTTTGCAACATCTTTTTGAAATAATACAACCTACATTTACTAAAAAAAAAATTCTTTTTCATTCATATCTGAGGCTAAAGAATGGTTTATAGATAAAAATGAAATTCAAGTTTCGTTTGATATTATTAATTTATATCCATTGATTCCACTAGATAAAGCAACAATTTCTATAATTGATATTCTAAGCAAAGATAAAGATAATCTTAAGATGCGAAGTAAATTGTCATTAGTAGATATTCACAAGCTTATTGAACTTTGTGTAAATAAATGTAATTTTTTATGGGACAAAATACATATCTTAAAAAATTCTTGTCTGATTGGTTAGTCCATTATGTTTATTATCAACAAATCGTGACAATGGTAACTTAGTGATGACACGCCATTGGAGACCACTTTTTGTTAAACTTAAGTCTAAATCTGCAACATTGCAATGACGTCATTTTTGATTTTAGTTTTTATGAATTTTGTATAACAGTTTTTTCAGTTTGATAATGGTTTATACTATATAAGCCAAAATATCACCATATAATAATAAAGATAATATATAGCGGAACATGATGTTTTTAATCAATTGAATATAAAATATATTATTAACGATGTCACTTAAACAATATATATATATATATATATATATATATATATATATATATATATATATATATATATACATATATATATATATATATATATATATATATATATATATATATATATATATATATATATATATATATATATATATATATATATATATATATACTTTCCAATAACTCAAACCTCCAGGGGGCCAAGAAATCAATTCAAGTTAGAGAATGTTTGAGTTATCGGAACATTCAATATGTCAAAATATTTCTTTTGAGTGATATGCAGAAAATTAAATAAATTTGATTTCATAAAAAAAATTAATCACTTTAATAAGACGTTGTGTTATTTTTCTTTTAAAGATCAAGTTATAGGTAAAATATCAGCCACTGGGACAAATAAAACAGTTTGACTTATCAGGTGAATGTTCGAGTTATCAGGGGCTTGAGTCATCGAGTGATTTTTATAAGAAAGTGTTAGTAAGGGCTCAAGGGGAACTCGAAAGTTTTTCGAGTTATCCGGGGTTCAAGGTATCAGGAGTTCACTGTTGTCAATGATGTTTTTGATAAAAAAGAAACTATTTGTAAATGTAATGCTAGTAATATAAGTTGGATTCAGTTTCATTTGTACAATACATTTTTTTTATCTTTATTAAAAACTGATGAAATTCCTTTGTTTTTCAAAATATTATTTAATTATGACAACTCTGGTTATTTTGCGGTAAGCTGCTACTTTGTGACATCTGCATATATGCACATATATTTATTTTGCACATTCAGAGTTAAAGAGTATGAATCTTTGCCAATATGTTTACCAAATGAAGTTTGTGATTATCAACTGCTTGATACATATATACTACAAGATGACTGTACCTATATTGAGTCTAAATACATGGTTATCATCATGATTTTTTTATTTTATTCTGATTCACTCCTAATAAGGCTGCAAGCAACCACTATTAAGTTGGGAGTTACTAGAAAAAAATAATATAGTTATAGAGCAAGGAGACGGTTAACAGAAGAGTTAAAAAGATGTAGTTTGTATGAGTCAGGAAAACACGAAGATGAGAGAGAGCTCCAAAGGTTTGAAAAAAGATAGATAGTTTTAAGGGTTGAAAGAGCTTTAAAGCGTGTGGAAAAAAACTAGACAAATATAAGTTTTTGGAGCATGCAGGGACAGATACAGTAAAATAAATGAGGCTTTGTTAAATGAAGAGTCAAGCGAGAATGAGTTTTAGTACATGGAACTAGAGATAAAAGCTTCTTAGAGCAGTGACCATGATAGTATTTGTAGAAAAGAGAAAGATCTAACTTTAAAATGATGGGAAAGAGGCTTGAGCTTAAAAGATAGACCAAGTCCAACTATATTTACAATGCATTTTTCATCTAGAAAAGAAAGAGCATCATAAGAAGAGCCAGCCCAAATATGACAACAGTTTTCCATACAGGGGCTAATAAGAGATTAGTAGAGGTGAAGAATGGAATCAGGAGAGATGAAATGATGAGCGCAAAGAAGTGAGATCAGATTCAAGATTGGCTGCCTGTTCTAAGCAATCTAAAACAGAAGACTTTTTGTCAAGACAGGAGTATAAAGTTGAGTCATCAGCAAAAAGAGTTACCTTATATGTAATGTTGCTGGAAAAATTAATAATTTAGATAATAATAAAACCTTGAGGTACCCCAGAAGTTACTGGAAATGAATTAGAGTGTTGGCTTTTGATGATGAGCTTTATTAAGCCATTACAAAGAAACGATTTGATAATCTCAAAAACTCTTCCAGATACACCATATGAATCAAGCTTATGGAGAAGACTAACATGCCAAACTTTGTTGAAAACCTTAGATATGTCAAGAGCAATAGCCCTTGCCTCTCAGCCTTTATCTAATGCACAATCTTTCAGTCACAGTAGTTAGCCACATAGCAAATCGATGAGCGAGAGGATCGAAAACTGTATTGATTGTCTGACAGCAAGTCATTTGACTCAAAATGGAATATGAGATGTTTAAACGAACAGGCTATTTTCTGTCTACTAACTTAATGAGAGCACAATCATAAGTTCTCATACCTACATTGAAGATTGTCTTCATATTTATGCTTTGAAATTTGAAAAAAAGAAATGTGTTTATAAATTGTATTTGAGTTTCAGGTGATGAAAAAGTTATTATTTAAGCATTTTGCAATAGATATCTTATCTACTAATTGCACTCCATCGTGCATTCAACATCGTGGTCGAAAAGAGATCGAATTTCACTTTAACAAGCCTTTTTTGGACAAGACTTACAAGCATATATATATATATATATATATATATATATATATATATATATATATATATATATATATATATATATATATATATATATTTATATATATATATATATATATATAAATCTTTATTCAAAATTGATTTGCATTACAAATAATGAATTGTACAATATTATCTATTTTGTTATTTCTCTCTCTCTCTCTCTCTCTCTCTCTCTCTCTCTCTCTCTCTCTATATATATATATATATATATATATATATATATATATATATTATATATATATATATATATATATATATATATATATATATATATATATATATATATATATATATTTATTCCATTATTGAATTTTAGATAATTCTTCAAACGAATGCGACTTCAGAAATCTCACGTTTATTCGTACAGCTAATTTCAAGCAAAAAATTTATATATTGGACAGTGGATTTAACACTAGAAAACCTTTTTTATAATTGATGATATATTTTTATAAACATAGATATATTGGATTGTAAAATAAAATTTATTTTTGTTAATTTTTTAAAAATATTTATATCAATTGTTTAAAAAAAGTTTTTTTTTCTTTATTGCCATATTTTGAAAAATATGTAAAATACTTAGGAAAGTCGTAATTTGCATTTCTATTTTGGCCTTAAGTAACTACCTTAAATATCTTAAATGATTATAATTAAATATTAAAAATCTATTAAATAGTTATATATTATATAAATATCAGATAATAAAAAATGTTCAAGAAGTCAAAAAAGTATCCGTGCAACGAAGTAATAATGCAAAAATATTGAACGGTTCGTTAAAAAACTATAACGGGTTCTTTAAAGAACCTTATTTTAAGGTTCTTCCGAAGAACCTTCGTAAAGGGTTCTTTGAAGAACCTCTACGAGTTCTCCACCAGCGTCAACACGAAGAACCCTTGAAGATTTTTTGAAGAACCATTCGGGTTTAGAGTGTAGATACGATATAAATGAAATGATTATTATTAGATTTTAGCAGCCGTGGCACTTAAACGGCTCGAAGCCGTTTTTTATTTATTTGAAGACATTTGCTAATTTGAAAACATTAAATGTTGTGAAGCGCTTTAAAATCTATTGTTTGTTTACCTGTTAAAAAAAGAACTAAATTTATATGAGTAAAAATTTATGCAGAACTTCTTTTTTGAAACTCTTTACAATTAATTTCTTTTGTTTTTAATTTAAATTTAAAAGTATTATCACTATTTTTACTTTGTAAAACTTAATGGCCAGGAATAAATTCGCAATGGCCATGTTTTGGATCTCTGGCCATGATTTGATGTTTTTCACGCCTTCTAATATTTGTGCTAAAACTTATTAACAAAAGCTTCCAAACTTGTCATAAATTGTATCTCAAGAGGTTTTTTAAGAGTTTAGAAATATTTTTAAGAATCTAAGCGATTCGCGGTAACATGAAGCAGTTTAAAATTAAGCGGCCATGATTTGATGGTTTTACCCTAAAAAAGTTTATTTAAAATTAGAGATCGTTATTTTAAGCATTATATAGTGCATTTTTGGTACTTAAATCATTTTTAAACATTGCTCATTGTTAGTTTTGTTTATTGTTATTCTGTATTTTTATTAAATAGCACCGTTATTTAAGGTAAATTTAATAACACTTCAATGTCATTTAGAAAACAAAATTGTCGGAAATAGTGCAAAACTGCGTAACTAGCATTGGATTATACCGCGTATCTAAAATACATTTTTTTTACAGAAGAAATTTATTCATATTTTTTGTAATCTCAACAATAAATATTTGGTGTTAAAATTAATAATATCCGAATAGCCAATGCTAGTAATGCGGATTTTCCGAAATTTTAACTATTGTTTTTATCTCGCTTGCTTTTTAAGCTTTTATCTACCTTGCAATTAAAAATACGCAAATATAAATAATCGTTCCTAATGGGATATGATCTAAACACAACCACGATTTTCCA